GCTTAAAAAAAATCCTCTGAATACCGGAACCTCTGAATTCCGAAAACCGGACGATTTTCTATGGCTACTAATGATAAATCATGCTTAAAAAATCCTCTTGAAACCGGAGAGCAATTTCAAGTGTCAACTTTCTGTGTATTTTAATGTAGATTAAAACATAATCTCAAACAGGTGACATGTTTCAAATTATCACCTCTCGTTACCTAATGAAGGTGTGAAAACACTTCTCAGTGGTGTTAATTTCTTATTGGCAATTAAATTATAGCTCTTTCATCATAAGTCTTTCCCTGTATAGGTATGATTTTTGAAAAATGTTTTAATTTTTTAATTTTTTTTTAATAATTAAATGTCTAAAAGAATTAGGAAACTTTTGTTAAAATGATTCCTGTTTTTGCTTAAAAATTTGATATTTGAATTTATCTTTGTTTGGAAATTAATCATATGCAAAAATAGTAATACTAAAAATTCCATTAATTACATATTCCAAACTCCGAATTATAAACGTAAATACAAAATATGGCAAGGGCGTGCACATATTTTTACGCACATATTTTTGACGTCATATGCGTTATATATATGCACATGGTATAGACACGCGTTTTTAAGTGTTTACCAAAACCATGGCAATGAAAAACAATTTTGATTGTTAGGTTTATGTTCTTTATTTGGATATGTGATATTATATTCATATAGTTTCAATACTATTTATTGATCGCCAGAGGCTCGCCAAATACATTGTTCATGTAGTACTTATATATTTCAATCTGATAAGCAAATGTGAGAACGAGACTTAATCAAAATATCTATGTAATATTCACATTCGATACTATAAATCAAAGATACCTTAACCCTAACGTCTTGCACAGCAAAGCAGCCGTCTCGTCTGAAAATCTGTAAGCAGGACTACCCAGTCCCCACGTGCTATCGTGATAAACTTCTAAAAAACCTTCATTCCCTCGTGCATTAACAGGCCATAATCGTATTTCAAGACCTGTTTCAAAAATATTTCTCACTTAGTATGAGCTAAGTCAACAATATAATTGTACAGAAAAGTTAAACAACAGCATTGCAGTCAATTTTGTAAAGAAGCAGAACATTATAAATCGTTCGACCAAAGTCTTGAAATAACCGCGCTCCTTTATGTCAATGTTTGAAAATAAATAATAATTTGAAAACGTAGCCAAATAAAAATGAACCATAATGGTAGAAATTGAGTAGCGCGATTTGTGAGTCAGCTATACTTTTATGTTAAAACATAGTAGTTTGCATAAGGGTTTAGTTCATTCAAGGAAAAAATGTCAACCTGGGTTAGCTCAGACAAAAGCACGCAGACGCTAAAAGAAGCGTTTCTATAAATAATTTAATCAAACATAAAAGTGAAAGAAGTTCAAGGAACCTACCTGATAAGCAGCCAATGTTTATCAAAATAATACCTAGACAATAACACAGTCTCATCTCAATAATCGTTAAGAATAGAAGTGAAAACACGAATTTTAATTTCCAAATGCGCTCTATATATCCAATATTCAACGCTCAATAAATCCCGTTTTCATTAAAATTATCTTATTACCGTAGTTTTAATTGCCATAAATCAACTGTTTTTAAACAGATATACAACACCTTATATAAGTTTTATATATCCGCGTTGTGGTTTATAACAACACATTACTCATTTAAGAACGGATAGTACTTTTTATCTTTCTATGAAATTATTTTATTGTTGTTGCTTTTTTTCTTGAGGGCTTACATATACAAAAAATAAACAAATAAAACAATACAGTAGCCAAAATATATTGAAAGAGAGCTAATTTTAAATTTTCTATCAAACAGTTTCTCAATTATCAAAACCTTTTCCTTTGACAAGAAATGATTTATCATAATAACTTTATTTTGTATTTCTTTGATTTTCAGGTTTTTCTGCCCATGCACTTTGTGATAAACATGTATTTGAAACGGAAGTTATATTATCATTTTACAAATCAATTTGGACGTTATTAAAAAAAATACAGTTTTATTTTCATTTGCCACGCATTTAGGGTCAGCGGAAATCTTTTGCATAAATTAACGAATGCTCATTAGTGATAGAAATATTTAGAGTATCCTCGTAGTAAGATCTCTAATGTTTCTCTTACCTTTTATTTGTTTATTTTAAGGGTTATATGTATAGCACGCCCTCATATCAATAAATGTAAAGTATACAAGTAAATAGACGAACTTCAATTTTCAAGTGCGCTAAAAAAACACTTTTTATTAAGATTATCTTATAAACATAGTCGTAATTGTCATAAATTACATATATTCTGTATTCAAATAGAAAAATAACTCATGACTGCGGCTAGAGATATCCGCTTTGTGGGTTAAACAACTATTAATTATATCATTCATTAAACAAATAATCGGATTATATTTTTTATTTCACTATGACATCATTTTGAGGTATTACAACATGTAAAAATAAAACAATACAAATAAAACACACAATGTAACTGCTGAAAGAAAAAAAAGTTATTTGCTATAGAAAACATAATTCCTAAAACCGCTGCCTTTGGAAATACATGAATTTCATATACTGCAACTTTTTATATGATGTTTACATATTTAGAATATCTTTGTTTCATTTGTACGCGATGCATTCTAACTTTATTTAAAGTAAAGAAGAATGACCGGCTATTGATACCATATCACTTTTTCTCATAATTTTACACGCTAAGGTAAAAAACACTTATAGAAATATACTTCCTGACTTATATTGCATTCCTTCAACGCATAACATGATCAAAAGTAAAAGGGGATACTGTTTCAAAATATTTAATTTACAACTATTCCAAAATATACATGCTATTTTTCATAATCAAAACGAACTGGAAATAATTAAATTTGAAAATTAATTTACTTGTTAACTGGTAGGCTCTCTCAACGCTGAATGACTACTATAACCCGCCAAACTTAAAATCTCGTGCAAAATCATACTCCCCCTAGCGGAGACTTATCAATATACAAGGGAAAATAATTCTCTACTAATTCAAACTTCAAACGTAGAAAATTATATTTCCCTGATAACACCTCGTCTCTAAGAGTCACTAGCAATCGGATTAGACTCATATTGACGAACTGTATCCCAACCCGCCTCCGACGAATCTGCAATTCTAATGAGTTTGTTACATATTCTAAGTTTCTCGGCCGCTTCTTGAAGTAACTCTTTGGCATACTCAACTTTCCCGTGCTCGAGCGCCCATTGAACTTGATTGTTTATATCTTCCAAGGTAGAATTAAATTCAAATTGAATTCTGTTACCTATGTGTGTCCATTAAATTTCACCTCGCTAGAAACGCTGAAAGAATTGCCCTGTACTTCTTCTTTCAAAGCTTTCACCTCTTCTTTTTGACTACGTATCTCATTAATCAGCAATTCTAACTGTGAATGTATAGCCACGTTGTCATTTTCCTCGCACATGTTTCAATGTAAATTTACGTGTTAACTGATAGGCTCTCTCAACGCTGAATGACTACTATAACCCGCCAAACTTAAAATCTCGTGCAAAATCATACTCCCCCTAGCGGAGACTTATCAATATACAAGGGAAAATAATTTTCTACTAATTCATACTTCAAACGTAGAAAATTATATATCCCATTTCGCCACATTGAGGTTAATCATTTTTATGCTAATAAAACTCATTTTGGTTGTCTGGACACCAAAAATAATACTTTGAGTCGATATAAAACCCAATTTATTAATGAAATGTCGCTATTTAGTTTTTTTTATGAAATTTATTAAATGTAGCTTTAAGTAGTATTATAAACCTTGAAAATGTAAAGAAGAAACGGGGACTCGTGTCAGTTGAATAAAACGGATAATTTAGAACTACCACTACGGTACACATGGCTACAATGTATTCTGTTGAACCTTTTACGTTACAACGGCTGAGACACATTTTCGACAGAACTTTTCATGTCTTAAAGGGAAAACAACAATAGTAAACACCTTTTAATTTTGTAGAATATCATATTATTTTTTAAAATTTTTTGATTTTTACTTTTTATTTCTTTTCTTCCATGTTTAAAAAGAAATATGCAATTTTGCAAAACACGAAGTTTCTAAAAGTTTATATGTAAAAAATTTGGGGGATTTTTTACACTTTTTTGAAAATAAAAACCCCTGGGGGCATTTACGCAAAGTACACTTTTAATTTCTTATTCGACATTTTTACCAAAATATTTATATACCCAAAAGCAGGTTCAATGCTGTCGAAACCCAAAAAAGTTCCCCCGTATTTTATTTCAGTGTTGTTATATTTTCTGGTCCTTCAGGGTCATTGAGTCTAGCACGTTTAAGTGTTGAGAATTAAGAACCGTTTAAGCCGGTGCTATGGGGCGTGATGATGTTGCTCTTTTTTCATTATCCCCCATGTACAGACTCTATCAAACCAAGTCTGCAATTTTCATGTAATTTTGATGTTATTAATGCTTCCGAGGGATCTCTTTTTTACAAAAGATTTATCCTTCTTAATATAGAAAAGGTAATGTGAGTGCTTCAAGAAAAAATTAGATTGATCAACTGACAATTCTGACACTGATAAGAATAATCTTAAACTGATGAATTTGTAAGTTTTTATTTTTTAGAACTGCCTATAAATATGGGAAGATTTATTGGAAACATTTTGATTTAAAGAATAAACGTTTAAAAATATTTATACAAGCTCGATTATGAAATAAGTTAATGTTTTTTGTTCACTTGCTGCCAATTCTTCAAACCTGATGTGTAATATTTGTCCAATGAATAAGAAAACCTTTAGATACTATTCTTTTATTTCTTTTTAAACAAAGAACTATTTCAACGTTGAATAAGTTTCATATGTAATTGTCATGTGTCGGTGTTTTTGATCTTTTACCCTCCTATACGTCAGCCTGAAAACATGAATGAATATAATGTAACTTCCCATATTTAAGAAAACATAAAATGTATCTAGATCTGAAATTGCTTCAAACAGTATAAACTAAAACATGAAATATTACAGTGGCAATAACAGTGCATGCACGATATAATACATACAGAAAAGAAAACCAATGCATTCTTGTACGTTTGCTAAGATATTTTAAACATTATATAATTTTAATCTTTTTTCAACAGCTTACCTTTTACAATATTTAGGTTTTGTGTTTTGGTCCATTTAATTGAAGATACATGTATTTTGTTATTTTAGATTGTCGGTCATAAATATTGTCAGTTGATAAACTTTAAAGTAGATATTGTTGTGCATTATGATATACAGAATTCGAACGCAATAGTTCCATATTTTGTACGGAAATAAATGATACTTATATAGGAGAAAGTAATTGCTATTATCTATGTAAAAGTTCATCTTTTAAAAACTGTTCTTTATATAGGATAAGGCTTTTGGTATCAAGCAAATTCCAACCCGGAATCAATATCAGATTTATTCTTTTGTAAACACCGAGATTTGTTTCCGCAAGAATCTGTTTATTTTGGTACCTACATAAAAATAGTATACTGTATTACAAGTGTATCTCGGACATCAAAATAAATATTTTTTTAAGTACATACATTCTTTCTAAGTGTTAAAAGACACGCGAAAGGGAAATTCCTAGCATAACAACACTATGTGTGAAGATGCTTTGATAAAACAACAACATGACTATAAAAATAAAGTCTGTTGTAAATCGTAGGGTTATAAATATATGTATTCTAATGGAAGAAACGTAATCCATTTATTATAATAATAAAATAAAGTAAATTATATGTCAGAAAAAAGGGACAAAATACAAAAAAGAAGAAGAAGAAAAGAAAAAAAAGACATATAAATCACTATGCAAGGCTGATAGGCGGGTATTCCCGACCCCTATCACGTCAGTGACGGGAAAAAATAATTAGGTTCCACCTTAACTTGGCGCCCGGTATGTGAAAAAGTAGATATTGTGAATGTTGAAAGATACTATGATATTGAAAGAATTTCAGCAAATTTTTGGTCAATAAAAGTAACAAAAGCTACCATACTTCATTACTAACCGGTAATGTGGGGCTCGTATCCGCTAACTCTTCTTCCTGATGATAGAAAATAAAAGAAACAACTTAAATAAAACATAGCATATTCATTGGGAATAATAAACCATCAAAGCATTTAATACTTTTGTCACTAAAATCAAGGCAAAGTTAAAAATAAATGTATGATTTTCAATCCAATTCTTCTAAAAACATACATCATAGGCAACATTTAATGTTTTATATACATGTTGGACCACACTCTATACAATGTCTTAACCATTTGAAAAAAGCAACATGCTTTGCAAAGGACCACCGTTATAGAGCTATGGAAGCTGGACATATGTAAAGTCTGGTTAAACTTTTCCTAATTATGTCCGGTGTCCTGCTGGGTTCCTTGCTGGTGGGTTTTTGTTTAGAGCAGCGTTCAGTGAGCGTCCCTTTCATCGTAAATCTTTGTTCTCAAATCTTTTCTTGTTTGTTGCTGACTATATATTTTTTATATCAAAACCGTTTATTATAAAAATGAAAAGTACCTTTAGGACAAATACGACAAGTCCATGGTTTACAAATAAAGTTTGATAAGGTTTGATTGAAATAATAATCTTACCACTGCATCGTACTCTAAGATGGAAGGGGTGTTCGTACGCCATAGGCGACGATCCTTTATTAAACTTGCACTGCTGTAAACTACTTTCGTTGCCTGTACATTTCAAGAAAGACATCCAGAAAAGGTCATGTTTCCGACCATGGTTTTCATCGGAAAGCACAGAACCCTGTCCACTACAACGATTAGATTAGATCATAAAGTAACTGTAAATATTTTGGAAAGTTTTTATATTATACTGATAATTACTGTTCCACGAGATCATTTTTAAAAACAGGCAAACTTCCAAACCTCCTGATGTGTAGATATAATCTTTTAGGGTTGCATTACATAGTCTTAGCCAAGACAAAAAATGTAGCCATTTTGGGTTTCAGTGAATATGTCATAACTTAAGACCAAAATGTTAAGACAACTTTAATGTCTTTGTAGCAATGTAGATTTTGTATTTTCATTTAATTTTCAAAATACCTAAAAACTCTACACTTAAAATGTTTTACTTATTAACTTATTATTCGTTTCGCTGTTCTTGTTTTCGTGTTTATCTAATTTACAAGAAAATATTTTACCTGTATCCCATCTCTCTACAGACAACCTTGGCAGCATTATCCGTATCATTATGGGTCATGCCTTGCGTTGCTATGTAACCCCATCTACCGTTGATAAGGAGTTCGACACGCCCCTCATTTTGGTATACGCCCCCTGTGAGTCGCATCTGAGTCACATCGAACCCTATTCAAAAATAGGTTATAACAAAGCAAAAGTGTAAAATAGAAACATCATTCCCTGCTGTGAAAAGAAGAAGTAATGAAAATATATTCAAATATAGCTTGTAAAAATTGTTTAAAAATCATGAAGTTCATGAAGTATGGATTTGAGGTTTTCAAGTACTTGATGGCCAGAATCTGCCACAGAATGTATGCTGACAACAAAAACCCATGTGATTTGAAAACAACCACACATTTAAAGCAACGAGGCCATGTTTTGACAGGTAAATAAAGTTAGTTCCATATTCCGTTTTCCTTATTCCTTTTTCCAATATTTTTCGAATATCCTTATTAAGATTTGAAAAAGGAATAAGGAACCAGTTCTTTATTCCTTCTCCGAATAATTCCTTTTTCAGATAAGGAATAGGGAACTACATCCTGATTCCTTCTTCGTATCTAAATAAGGAACAGGAGAATAATTGAGCCGCGTCACGACAAAACCAACATAATGGGTTTGCGACCAGCATGGATCCAGACCAGCCTGCGCATCCGCGCAGTCTGATCAGGATCCATGCTGTTCGCTTACAAACCCTATAACAAGTAGCGAAACTGATAGCGAACAGCATGGATCCATGCTGATCGCAAACCCTTGGTTTTGTCATGACGCGGCTCAATTATTTATTTTAAAAATATTAACGGTTGATCAGCAAACTAGAACCACACTGAAAAAGGAACAGAAGAGACAGCAACTGCACTAACTTTTTTCTTATAAATCTGCATTAGAATTGCAAAATTCAATCTTCAAAATCATTGCAAAAAATCAGCCGCATTTTGAAAACATGTTCAAGTCGAACAAGGACTAAGGAATCAGTTCCTGATTACTTATTTAATTTCGAAAAAGGATCTGAAGAAGATCCGCAAAGAAAGAAAGACAGCATTTGCAATTATTTCTGATAAACCTGAATTAGAATTGCAAGAATCAATCATCAAGATCATTAAATAACGTATCTGCATTAAAATATTTTGAATCAATGTTCAAGTCGAATAAGGAAAAAGGAACCCGTTCCTTTATTCCTTATTTAACTCCGAATTAGAAACAGAAGAAGATATCAAAGGAAGTATTCAGTTGCAATTATTTCTGATAAATCTGCATTAGAATTGCAAGGATCATTCTTTAAAGTCATTGCATAAAGCATCTAAATAAAAATATTTTGAAAAAAGTTGAATGAGGAATAAGGCGCGCATTAAGATGACAAACTATACCAAATAGCTTTGTATGAAGTAAATTGTGTAAAAACTGTAAGAAAGTGATAATTATCATTTTCTTTAAATGACTCTTTCACCATTTCCTATAAAAAAAGCCTCATGATCTTTAAGGACTGCCCGTCGATATGTATTTTTTAAAAGTTGGTTCATTTTGACTTTTGGTCGGTAAAATATGAAAAAAAAACAAGATCAACAAGGAAGGGCGGCGTTCAATGAAAGCAACCCCCAAAACACTTGTTTGATTGTACTTCTTATTCTTGCATTTATATACTCACCAAAACAGTACAACCATGTCCCCCTTTTGTACGTATGCTGTATCGATGGCACTGTCGAGAAACGAGAATGCCTACATTCCATTACGTTTGTTTCGTTCCCTAAACAATGCAAAGAACTAAGCCACGCCTTTCTGCCATAGGTCTGCAATAAGTTACCTGTAGTACCGAATCCAACGTTACTAAAATGAAACAAGATTGTCTATATAGCAATATCGACATGACATACATTTTCAAAAAAAAATGTATATCACAAAAAAAATATTATTTCAATTTTTTTTTCTTTAAATCTTGACAATAATTATATTACCCAAGATTAAATCTGTTACAAAGATAAGATGCTGTTTTGTCATTAAATCGAAATCCTGGATTCCCGACCATACCCCAAGACCCGTTGTGGAAAACTTCAACAGGACCCTCGTCTGTATATTGATTCATCCTTGCCAATCGAACAGCTAAATTAAAAAAGTATATATTAGAATAATTATGCTCAAACAACGAACGAACGAACGAACGAACGAACGAACGAACGAACCTTGCCTCTTTTATACTACTACAGTGCAAGTCAGATTACAAATATGTTAGGTTTTCAACTCTACACACATTATGGTAACACAATTTGTATACATACATGTAATGACATTTAAAACTAGCAATTTTTAATAAAGGGCCGCAATAAACTACTAAAACGTATTTTGTGCATTCTAATATTAAAGATCCTGAAACTCAATCTTTTTATGGTTTTATATCATAAATATAATGCTCAAATGTAGATTTATCAATATTGCACGTTCCAAAAAGCATTATTTGTAAAGATAATACCGAATTTACATTTCATGTTAATAAAGAGAGGTAATTAGAAATTTATTTTCTTTCAATTATTTTAGAAGCATTATTATATACATATATAAAATTTCACTTCAGTGTGGTAACATTACAACCTTAATTACAACATACTGGATCTTTAACATTAGATAAATTCTGTTAGAATTTCCTAAAATTCAATAAATTTCTGAAAGTTTTTTTAACCCAAAGATAAGCAAAACATAACATTTATTAAAAATATGATTTACCTTTGCACGTGACAGTTGCCGCAAAAATACATTGAGAGAATAAACTTTGAGAGCGGTCACACTCGGACAACGAATATTCACAGCCAGTGCACGATAATTTTTTCCTGTATAAAGGATACGCTCCAGGTTCTTTTCTATTTATACTTATTGCTCCACTGAAATAGTATTATATGTTTATTATCCCACTGAAATGTGATATGCTTATTGCCCCACTGAAATAGTATAAAATATAAATGACCCCTCTGAAAAAGTATAATATGCTTATTAAACAACTGAAATAGTATCCTAGTAATATATTTATTATCCCAATGAAATAGTATAATTTGCTTATTACCCCACTGAAATAGTATAATATGTTTATTACCCCATTGAAATAGTATGATATATTTATATTCCCACTGAAATAGTATAATATGTCTATTATCCAACTGAAATAGTATATGTTTATTAACCCCCTTGAAATAGTATAATTTGCGTATTACCCAACTGAAATAGTATAAGTAATAGAAAGAGCATCGAAACACGAGGCTATCTGATTTGTACGAGGGGGCGTAGCCCCCGAGTATTAATCAGATTGCCGAGTGTTTTGAATTTCTTTCTCTTTTGTAGAATAGTCAAACATAAAAACACATTCCCTGTTGTCACAATATGAAACCCCAGCAAAAAGGAACCAATAAACGAACATTTGAATATGATATTTCTGTCGCTTTCCCTTTCTCTGCTGTCACAATATGTAAACCCCAGCAAAAATGAGCCAATCAATGGGCATGCTGTGGAGTGCGGGTAACTAATACCTGTACTCCAGTTAACGCACTGTGCATGTTTATGTATACGATTTAGCTCTGACACGTTTTCAACAGAAAGGTCCCCAAACTTTGATACAATATATTTATTACCTCAATGATCAGGATATACCCCTAAGGTAAAAATCATCCCTTGTTGGGAAATGATAAGGGAGAGAAGGCATGGAATTTATTTTCTTACTCGTATCCTAGGTGGTTGCAGACAACATTTGCAGCATTCATGTCTACGCCGTCATAACACAGGGAATACTTGTTACCGTCTAGCGATGCCTCTATAAGCCCACTGTTTGGCGTTGGACCACCTGTTATTCGGGCATCTAAATGGCAGACAAAATCATATTTAAATATAATTTTTCGCGATTCTTTTTATGTATGAAATTTGAATTCAATTACTTAAATAAACTGAAACGTTTTCAAAAATACACCGGCAGGACTGTTATATAGAATGCTCCAATGACCATAATGATTTGCCAATTCGATTTTTGTGCAAGCCGCCAAACAATGACACACATTAATGGCAAGAGTGTATAACTTCACCAAACTCTTTTAACGAAATTCAATATTTGTAATGCATCGTGAAAAATAAAAAATAAAACAAGTGTTATTATTCGTTTTCCTGTATGGTCACTGGAAACCATTTGAGCCGTGTCACGACAAAACCAACGTAATGCGTTTGCGACCAGCATGGATCCAGACCAGCCTGCGCATCTATTAATCTTGTAATTAATTTATTCAGAGCCTTGAAGATAAACTGCAAGACAAGTTCAACGATACATTAAAACATATGATACCGTCCTTACCAACACAAAACAACCGTGTTCCGTGTCTATAGCCCCAATCTGTGTTGTTTGTGTAGCTATCTATGTTCCATTTGTTTGGAAAATGGCATTGGTCTAAAACTGTTTCATTACCATAACACTCTAGACCGTATGTCCATCCTACCCCACCATAGTTGTCTATGGAAGTCCATCCGGAACTGTATCCAAAGTCGCTGTTAATATTGTATACAGTTCATTAGCCTTTTTGCTCACATTCATGTTAATATAATTTTAGAAAAA